AGCGACGTAGTTAGCGACGCAGACGTCATCATTAGCGACGAGAATTGGGCACTTAGCGACGAGAATAGGCTTCTGACAAGCACCAGTACCAATGAACCAAGATACTGAAAATCCCGTGTCTAATGATGCAACAGCGTCAGGTTCATCAATTGCAGCTGGACTTATACCTTCAACGGAGACAACTACAAGTGACAAATCTGCCCCAAGTCAAGTGATTTCGTTCACATGTTTTGTGGCAGATTGCCGGTCGGGAAAGCAACTGAAGAACAGAAAGGCTTTGAAGCGCCATCTGCGACAAGTCCACAGTAAGCGTCTCTTATGAAAAATCAAAGCCCTACCTAACTTTACTGATTATAATCTTCGGTGCTAGAATTAGATATACCTGCAGATCCAACTGGAGTTGCTATTGCATATGGTCCAGGAGATTGTATCTTTCCGAACTGTCGGTTTCCAACTGAAAATGCAGAGGTTTATCAAACACACTTGCACAATGAACATTGTAAGTAAGAACATCATTGTTCAAACGCTAATTTCTTATATTGACAAAATTTCAAGCTCTTACGTATATTGAGCCCACCGTCTATAATGCAGACTATGCTTTAGAGGTATGGGAGGAAGAAAATGTATCTTCAAGTTCGCATAATTTGGATGAAGGATTTTTTCAAAGATTTGACGCTGCATTTGAAAAAATGATATCTGAAGAAAAATGGACTCTCACAACAGGGAAGGTTGTGGAAGATGAACTATATAAGCTAGGAAAACGATGCAAATTTGAACAGTAAGTGCATGCAATTGTCTTGAAGATCAATGGTTGTGTAATCAACACGACTTCCCCCCCAGTCCATGTCACTCTTGGATATTGGATACAGCAGATGAAAACTACACGCTCGAAGGTCACTTTACCAAGGAGGAGCTCAAAGAGATAGATGCTTACAAACCAGCAACTCTCCCAGATATTCCTGACGACGTAGCAGAATATATGAGAACCTTGAATGCAGTAAGCTATCAGTTTTTCCCACTTTAATTACATAGATGAAATGTGAGATTTACTAACGGCTGTTGGCGGAAACTTTAGAAGACTACAAATGAACTGCGGAAACAATGTCTGAATTGCCCTTGGAATGAACCTTTCAATCGCGACCAGGACTTTGATGTTGATTGGGTTTTTGGCACAATGCTTATGATGTATGTTACATAACCTTCGCTGGTTGATATTGTGTAGAGCTAACTTCTGACATGCAGGATCCGTGAATACGAATCAGGCAATCTGGAGACACCGCATCATGAACTGTGGTATATGCTCCGCATATGGTGTATGGTAGATAGATTGTTTGATAATGTACCAGGAATGGAAACTGTAAGGTATGTAAAATTTGTCTGAAAGCTGTTATTCATATCCTTACATTTTTTTTTATTAGAGGAGAGTCGGCAAGTATTAGCACCGCCATGCGCAAAAATGAAAATCGGATTATTTCGTCTGTTACCAAAATGAAACGAAAAGTAATGGGCAGGCGTGGAGATTTACTGTTGCAAAAGGGTGTAGCTGAATACGGCTGCGCTGAAGCAGGTGCCAAGTACGAAGGTCTAAAGGGCAGTAAAAGGATGTTGGACAGTGGATTGAAAGCGCCGAAAATGCTCAAGGATATGATGAACAACCTTGCATTTATGTGCGAAAATGAGGAAGATCGAGTTGTGAATCTTAGGACAGTAGGATACATACATTCTGGTAGGATTGTGTTTGTGAAATCATTGAAGGAATTACACTTGAAAGTTGATATACTTCATTAGCATTGTCAATGGAGATTTTAATCATGGATGCCCCCAATGGATATGTTGCTAGGCTAACAAGATCAACACAATATGATATACCGCAGCAGGTTTCAAACATAAGTACAAAGCTTCTGCCTCTGCTATCCGTACTATTATCCACAAAGGTACAAGATGATGTTTGATACTATTTTTATGATCAAACAGAAATGGTTAACAAATATATGTTTGCAGTTGCTGATCAAGGAAGTCATCGACACTGTTGAAAATCGTTCAAATGACTCTGAATCTCCGCAAATTCAATTGAGAAATGCTTTTCAAAGGCAAGGATCGCCTGATCGTACGACAAAAAGAAAGTTGTTGCCATCTTGTAATCACACGCCCGTTAAAAAGCGGTTATAAGAGACATACAAGCATTGAGTAATACCCAGTGCATTACTGATGGCGTAAGAGCATCAAACATTTCAGTAAATAAAGTAATTCAGTGTAAATATATGTTATGAGAATCTTTTAAACAGTTTAGATTGAATGTAGTAGGACTTTAAGATATGTTGTGTAAAAACGAAAATGTTTTTGGTCTGAAATTATTTTGGCGGGTAAGCGCTACGAAAGCCTTTCGTTTGCAACGATAACTTGATCTTACTGTATGTGGTATAGTAATAAGTTTATCTTGTCGGATGTAGCGTTCACCTGTTTCAGGGCCATGTATAAATAGATTGTGCGGTTGACTGATGGGAGTATTGAGCTGGAATTACAAATCTACCGTATGAGGATAATGCTCTTTTTTCAATGGTATCCATGATGGAAAAGATAAACGGGGTCGCGAGCCCACCTTCTATCATCTGATTTAAGAGAAACTTTCGCGTACTGTTTGATGCTCATGGGTTTTTGTGGATCACGTTCTTCGTAGTCATAGAGTAAAATACGCCGGTTAACGATTTTTTGTTTGGATGGGAAAATTTTATTTGATGTGTGGTGGGAAACGTAATTTTCTCACCTAAACCTGCTAGCATTTGTGGGAGTGTTGCCCAATCATGATTTTGTTGACGTAGTCACTTCGGATGGTATAAAGGTGTGCAGCAAAAGAGTAATAAACGGAGGGAATCTTTCCCTAAGAAACTAGCATACGTGTGCAATTATTTCAAAAGAAAGTGTATTGATCAAACGTATCGATATAACCGAATACCTTCGCTGCATTACATTTTATTATCAAAGTCAATTTAGCTACGAAATGATGTGTCACAGTAAAATTGATTTCGTTGATAAAAAAAGGTTGTGTTTTCAAGGGGAAAATTCCACTTTCGTTGTCACAGCAAAAATTGATTTCGTTAACAAAAAGTTATATGTTTTCAAGGGAAAATTCCCCATTCTCGTTGTCATAGCAATGTTGTAGTTAATGTGGTGGGAAACGTAATTTTCTCACCTAAACCTTTTAGCATTTGTGGGAGTGTTGCCCAATCATGATTTTGTTGACGTAGTCACTTCGGATGGTATAAAGGTGTGTAGTAAAAGAGTAATAAACGGAGGGAATCTTTCCCTAAGAAACTAGCATACGTGTGCAATTATTTCAAGAGAAAGTGTATTCATCAAACGTATCGATATAACCGAATACCTTCGCTGCATTACATTTTATTATCAAAGTCAACTTGACTACAACAGTTAAAATTGACTTTGCAAATAAAGATTGTGGCGAGTGTATTCGGTTATATCACTGTGGTTGATAAATACGCTTTCTCTTGAAGTTGATGCAAACTTATGCTAGTGTCTTAGGGAAAATTTGCCTGCCATTGTTTCTCTTTATCGTCTCCCTTTTATACTACATCCAAGGACACTTTACCAAAAATTACTGTTCGGCAAGCGTCCCGAAAGTCTTTAGATGATAAAAAAAAAAAAAAAGCTAACCACGTCGTTAAGTACCCAGTTCTCGTCGCGTCTGCGTCGCTCACCACGTCGCTAAGACCCAATTCTCGTCGTTGATGATGACGTATTACGTCGCTAACTACGTCGCTAAGACCAATTCTCGTCGCTAATGATGACGTCT